ATGGACGGGGTGAAATACCAAGCCCGAAGAAGGAAAGGCGAGTGGCAGTAGACGACCGAAAATGGCGAGGGGTAAGTCGGAGGCGTAGTGCGATAGACGGATGGGGGTGCGGGCATCGATGTGGGATTTTGATAAGTACAAAGTATTATCTTGAGCTACTTTGGACGGAAAGAGAGGCTGGGATTGGTCGATTGGCGGGCGTCAGGTTAGCGTGGAACTTCCCCCAAGGGCACAAATGGTATCATTCAAAGGACCTGCTCAGTCGGGCAAGTTGGCAGATATGCAGTGAAACTCTTCAACATGTCTCCAAGGGACCGAGTGGTTGTTCTTTGACAGGTAAAACCAGCCCATGTACTTTCAGGAGTTGCGTCGATGCGGCCGATTCCGCACGAGGATTGCGAGAATCCAGCCACAGGGCCTGGCTAAGGAAGGATGTTGTTGGGTCGGGAACAATCTCTGGTAACCTAAGATACTGGTGTCTGGAGGCATGCCGGACGAGCGGTTACTAGACGGATACTAGTTGCTAGTTGAAGACTCGGGCACCATTGGAAAGGTATCGTATCTGTTGGTTGTGTGGGGTTCTCTTGTCCTCCGACTTTGGGATTGACACTATTGGTCCGAATCGAGGCTCGGAGCGGTGTCGCGTGAGCTACAGCGGTGTGAAGAGGCATACTTGGTAACGCCACTCTGCCTGTTGGTTGGTGTTGTCTCGTACATCCCAATCAATTTTCGCGAGCTCTGGCCGTTGGAAAAAAGGATACATCAAGAGGGCGGTAATTGTGGGCTCGATTATCTGGAAGAGACATTGGTCAGAATGGCAATTGTCTGTTCCAACCGTATGGCCGAAGCTGGTGTAAGCCGGTAGAGATATGATTGGGAAGGCATGGCTGGGAAGGGTCGTAGAAGGAATACATTGTTACTTACTACGCAGTACGTATGCATATCTTAGGTAAGGTGCTGAGGAGGGCCATCACCAGTGGCGTGGCATGGCATGACATGACAAGGCACAGGCGGCGCGGTACTATGTTGAGGCAGAGATAGGAAGTGCCAGTGCGAAGCAGCAGGTGCAGATGCACATGAGGTACCTTTGCCCTTGCCTTGCGTTGGGGAAGCAGATTGAATCCGCAAGGCACCCTATCGCTCGATGCTGACAGCTGCTGCAACACACACTGGATGGCAGATTGCAAAAAAGGACGGGAACCTTTGAGCGCCGCTACTGCCCGTGACTACGGGCGGGACCGGATCTGACCAGCACGGCGTGGCAAGGAAGGGAGGTGCGTGAGACGGATGAGATGGCCTTGTACGGCTTACAGATACATGACATCCATAAGGCCAAAGGGTGGTGTATCCGGGCTGGAATAAGCTATGTAGCAGCTGAAGAATGATGAGTACGTAAAGACAAAAACAGAGCGAGCAACCAACCCATCTCCATTGATTGATCCATCTCGATTGTCACAGCCGAATCGGGCCACTTATGGGACCCCGTGCAAGCCGTGGACTCCATCGTGGTTCCTGGTGACAGGAAACTGGATGGATCTGGCCAGTGGGAGGTGGGAAACAGCAACCTAAGCGGTGGCCCAAGCTTTCCCCCCGATGCTCAAGACCTCAATGTGTGTGCTTCTTCCCAAGTTCCCACCCGTGCGTGCCGTGCCCCTTCCTCTCCCCAGAGTGGTATCCGTTCTGTGCCGTTATGTTCAGTGGTCAGTGGTGGTCCGGCGGCGGGTGTCATCCACTTGTCGCTGGCTAGGGCCTTGACCAACAGATGACGAGATGGCCTCTCCCGCGCTGTCCACTGTTGGGGCCGCACGCAGGGGGAGCAGACTCCAGAGTAGGGCAGGACAGGCAAGGCAGGGTAAATCGCAAGCAAGGTACGGATACGGCAGAGACACGGGTGCATCGCTGCATCGCAGGGCAAGACATGATATGATGGTGTGCCTTGAGTGGACTGCGACTTGCAGTTGCCGTTGCCGTGACCGTTGCGTTTCGCTCCCTGCGGTCGTGAGGACGAAGACGGCAATGGCGTTCTGATATCCGAGTCAAAGGTATCCCGAGCTCGGGGGTGAATGTCATGGTATCTTAGATACGGAGTACCGTCTCTGTACATTCTGTGCAGACTGCATTCCGTACAGACATTACTCCAAATCCCCGTGGCGGGCTTGGTGCGACGCACACCACCCAAGTAGGTTTCTCACTGCCCGCCACAGTCGGTTAGTCTGGTCTCAGAATGGGGAGGGAAAAGAGACACGGATGGTTTTCTCACCTGACTCGGAAACTGAAAGATATCAGCTCGTTGCCCGTATCTGTGAATACCCAGGAATAAGGCCTTGACCGAGGGTGGGAAAAGAAAATGGGCATCCGCATCCGTAATTGTGAGGAAAGGATTGATAGGCAAAAGCAGCAGGCCCACCCACACCCGACCGACTGCTCTTGCACTTGTTCGACTTTGCTCCTGCTCTCCGTACCTGCCAGCCTGCCGTGCCTGCTTCTTGCCTGCAATCTGCATTGCTTTCCTTCCTTCCTCCCGACCCAGCCCTTGCTCAACACACGCCCCCCTCTCTTTACCCCCACGCCCAGCCCCCTCCCCCTCCTCCCCCTCCTCCTCCCCTTCCTCCTACGGTTCCAGTCCCTCTTCTTCCTCACCCTCAGTCCTGGATCACAGCTCTCCTCTTCTAAGTTCTCCGATCTCCAAATCCTCCCCCACCACCGCCTTATCCTAACTATGTTCATCGCGCGCATATACCCTGCATTTTTGACCTGCCATCGATTGAACTCAAATTTCAGCTGGACTGTCGACTATCTCGCCTTAGCACCGCTAAATTCTTCGGGACCCAAGTCACCCAACACTTGAGCATACTTTCAATTCAGGAACGGCCTAGCCTCATGTCGACCATGCTGCTCTCAAGTCTCGAGTCTCGACTTTCCCACGCGGCAACCCTCCTTCTCGGAGATCTTTCTCTAGCAAGAGTGAGACAGACAGCTTCTGATCAGGCAGGGAAGAAGGCCCCGTGACTGTTTACTGGTGTTGCTAATGTACAATTGCCAGCGCTATCGGACCGCGGTTCATGCCTGGTCTGTGCCATGGTCGGCCGATGTTGCGCACATCCCTCCTTATTAGGTAGTGTACTCGGCTGCGATCGTTAAATGCTGGTACCCGAGGGAGGAACAAACGGCCTTGACCTCGAGGCATCGGACGACGCTCTGATATGGCACTTCTTTTCGATGGATTAAGTTGACTCACCTCACCCGGCGGCAACGCAACGGCCATGGCTTCCGTCTCCTGCGTCAGCCACCTTAATGGCTTGGCAACTCGTCAACCTTCCACCCCCTTGATCTTGCAGGCGTCCGCCGTGACTTTGTGCCATCCGCTTATTCCTCGCCGACCATTTGTCTACTCGGCATCAGCTGTTGCCTCCCACCCGCGCCAGCTCAACAGAACAGAGACCCAGGCATACGATGCCGACAATCGTGTACTTTGCGCCGCGCCAACGCTAGAGCATACATACTCGACTGGGCGGCTGTTTATTACATGACCCTTCCTAGAAAGCAATGATAAAATACGGGGACACACGAGATACTGCAGCTGTCCACTTTGGGACGACAGCCGAGACGCGAATGCGCTCCTCTCCAGCTCCTGCTGCGCTATCCAATTCCACATGCTCGAGTCGGCCGGCCGAGCCCACCATCGCCTCAATCCTATCACCCTTCTCGCTCTATCACCACCTGCGGTAACCTTTCGCCTGTCTACACCGTAGCGGCAATCAATGGTGCCTCTAATTCACCTCCGGTCTACCAAAAATCCTGGCAGTGTAGCCAACACCACCAAAAAAAAAATCCACCACATGGTCAATATCACACTCTCAGTCCATAAGCCCAGGCTCGGCCCCCTCGCCAAAGTCCAATTAAACAAACCGCGGTTATCTATGTCTCTTCTTCTCTAGGATTCCCAACCCTCAGCCGTGCAGCGCCATCAGGCCATGGCGGTCGTCAACTGCATCGAAGCAACCAAGGAGACATGCATCTTGCTGGCGACCATTGGTACTACCAAGTGCCAAAACCTGTATGCCCTGATCTACTAATAAAGTTGCAAAGCTTACCAACGCGTCGGACCATGCCACCGTCCTTTCTTCAGTCAGCAGGACAGTGCAGAGCAGGGCAGGGCCATTGGCAACCCAAAGACACTTTGACCCTCCACAGCCTGTGAAAGCCAACCCCTGTCGATTTAACCTGACAGCCATTGGACATCCTTGTGGGCGACTCTTCCCCGGTAAAGAAAGAGGGCAAGGGCCAAATCGCCTCCGCATCGTCTCCGCGCGCCTGCGTAGGGACTATTACGGGGCCCTCGAATTCGCTCAGTACGGAGGAAAATAGTATTCGTACACAATGTTTGCTTTGTACTCGGCTCGGTTAGTCCATACAATGATTGATTCTTAAGAGGGAGTCAGCATGTGGGCTACTGTGTATACTGATTCGATGAGCCAAGGCACTGAATTCGCGACTTTCCCGTTCATGTCAGTCAAGGAGGGGGCGTGCGCAACACGGCCGTTCAACGGCCGGTCCACCAATCCTGCGAAGAAAGGCTGGCCTCTCGTCTGCCGTCGCCTTATCTAAGTGGAGAGGCGCACACGACTGAGAAATCAAGACCACCTCCAGGCTCCCAGGCAGTTAAGACAAGACGACACAAGTGGAGAGGGGTTTTCGTTGGCGCTCTGTCTGTATGCCGGTATACGATAACGGAGAGGCTTGCCAATGCATCCAATGGCTCTAGAGCCATGTACGATTTCTTGGGATAACAGATACTTTTGCTTCCTACGGAGTACGGATACCACGAATCGAGGTTGATAGCAGGACGTCGATGACCTGAGAGAGTGCGGCCAATCCCTTGGAAGAGCACGCGGCCAGCTCCGACACCAACGGCAAGGGCATGTATTTCTGGCTTATCGAGTAGGCCACGCCGTCAACACAGCCGATCAGACTCGGCTGGACGACATGTTCTTCGAGAATTACTCCATCGTCAAAGAGACCGTTGCCAAATTCGCAAAATGGCAAGACGCAGCAGGAAAGTGCTGTGGGAAGAGATGTGGAGGCAGTTCTGGGAGCTTTTCGCGCATGCTGCAACAAACGCAGCAGCGCCGGTTCGATACCCGTTTTTCGTCGGGTTTCGACTCTTTGCCCGTCCAGCCGCAGTGTCTGCGCAGCGAGCGCCGAGGCCCCAAAAGACTATTGTCGTGTTCAAAATGGAGCCCGCCAAAGTACGCGAAGAAGCCATGCTGACTGTAAAGCGAAGGCGAGCTACAGAGTACAGAGTACTATTCTTGCCTCAACTCACCTTACCTTGGGCTCGGGTGCCGCAGCGAGTGAGACATTGTCGCGGGACACACTCGGTCGAGGCGAACGACTCGAGGCCCAAAGCTAGGTACTTGTCTTTACCACCTTAGCTCCTAGCTTCCCAGCCAACTCCGAATCACCCCCACCAGATGAGCGAATCGGTTACATCTTGAACGCGGATTAGCGTCATTCCAATGAGCGTTGGCAGTTCTGCGATGGCTGACCGCCGTATCTTTCTGTCAGTACGGATACGTACTAGATAGACTAGAGACACGTATACATGGCCCTGGGAAAGGACCGAGGAAGGCGAGACATCAACAAACGACAAACGACAGTGCCAATGCCACTTCCAATGCCAATGCCACTTCCAATGCCAATGCCAATGACTGACAGCATCTTGGTCCGCCACCGGCTTGGGATATCTCTCTTCTGGAGAGAGATGGACACGGCCGGCCTTGACTGATGCCCCTGTGGTCCCTCTCTCTCTCTCTCGTCGAGTGCGCCGCCAATCCGTTCACCCACCCGACCTCCTCACAACCTCTCACCTGTCGCCCTCCAGCCGACAGGATCAGGATTGGCCAGCCAAGAAAAGCTGGTGATGCACACCACCAAGTCCCTGACGGCACACCCTCGCCCAGTTCCTTGTCACTCCGTCCCACACCCCCCAAACTCTTACTCCCAAGGGCCCGAATCCCCCATTCATCCCTAGCGTGCAAAGGGACCTTCACCAGGTATCCTTGACTGCCCCCCAACTTGGCCATCCCGGCCCAGCCTATCCCATTGCCCATCTCATCCTAGAAGCCGCTAGGAGGGCGGCGGTATGCTCACCAGAGACCTGCCTCTATCTGCGTCTACTCGGCGGTGCAGCTTATTACTTACATCCACTCCTCCGCAGTATCTAGACCAGGCTCCATTCCACGTTCTCCTTCCACCACATTCGACATCTGTCCGTATTTTTTTGCTTCGCCATCCAGTCGGTCCAGAGGTTTACAGGAATAGGAAGCTTTTCTGGTTATCTCTTACCGTGGCCGAGACGGTCATGCACCCGCTTCCATCACCGCTTCTAATCACAGCCGGATTCGGTCCGCTTCATGTTGCACCGTTCGTCCCTTCGCAATCGCAAAGTTCATGCATCAGACGCAACAACAAACGCTACAATACCCTCACCAACCTCCCTAGCAACACTGTGCTACTCTTCGATCAACCGATAAACTGCGCTACTTCAGCCTCGAGATAGTCATCATCGTCTTTGCCATTGGGACAGTTAGCCGAGCCGATTCCTTGCACGAAATTCGACCCGCCCGCTACGTCACGTCTCGACCTTCGACGACGCATCCTTTTCCTCGCTCGTCGTGCCCTCCGCGGAGGTCGACGGGCGTGGATTGCTCCAGTCCATCATGAGCCTCTATACTGAGCCACCCGAGTTGCGCAGTTCCTCGCAGGACAAGCCCTCGCTATTGGTTTGTTGGTGGATAACCTCATTCTGCACTGTTATTATCCTACTGCGGGTTGCCGGCCGCTTCATTCGAACCGAAAAATTATTTCAAGAGGACAAAGTCGCAGCACTCGCCCTGATCCCTCTATGGCTCCGCATGGTTTGCGTGCATTTTGTCTTGCTCTACGGGACTAACAATGCCGAATTTGACGGCATCGCATTATCCGCGGAGGTCGAGCGCAGGAAGGAAATCGCAAGTGGTCTCGTGCTTGCCAGCCGAATCTTCTACGCAGCAACGTACGTCACGGAATCCCCTCAATGAATTCCCCTTTCATTTCTTCTTCTTGTGCTTTTTTTCGCCTTGCGCCCGCAACACTTTATGCAGCAATTTCATCACTGGATCCAGTGGGACGGTAGGATGGCTTGCTAACGCCTTGTCTGTGCAGACTGTGGATTCTCAAGAACACTATTTTAGAGTTCTTCAAGCGTCTGACTGGCGTCACTTGGGCACGTTCCTACGAACAGACGCTGGTGTTCATCAGATGCACCTTGGTCGCAACCTTCGTCGCCATTATCATTAGCGATTTGGCGGAATGTCGGCCTTTTAATCACTACTGGCAGGTTACTCCTGACCCGGGTGGTCAATGCCGCCAAGGGTTCGCTCACCTCCTCACCATGGCGACTTGTAACATCATCACCGATTTGCTACTGGTCTTCTTCCCGATTCCCATTATTCTGCGCAGTCAGATGAATGTGAAGAGAAAGATTCAGCTCACCCTGCTCTTCTCGCTTAGCCTGGCCGTCGTCGGTGTTACAATTTATCGTGTCCCCCATGTCATGAGGGCACATGGCAAACAGCAGCTGCGTTCCGTGCTGGCATCCGTTGAGCTCCTTTTCGCAACAACGGCTGCAAATGCCCTAGTCTTGGGCTCATTTGTTCGTGATCGCGGCTTGAAGAAACAAAAGTTCAAGTACGGCTCTGTGGCAGAAGATTCAATAGATCGCAGAGGCTCCGACTCGCGCCGTCCCACTCTCCATCGTCATTGGGGAAGTGACGAAGATCTCGTCCGAGATGTCGGCCTTGGTGTTGATCCTGACCTACGAGAACGCGATGAGGAACGGGACGAGTTCGACAACGAACAACAACGGTACACTCCCGCACCAATGGCCAAACCGTTTGGCGAGGAGCTGAGACAGTGGCAATTCCCTCAGCGGCAACGAAGCAATGCCGAACGCAGCGACGCTTCTCTCTTACCCCACGACCTTTCTTCCTCAAGGAGCAACTCGACCACGACACCGCGCAGGGTCTCCTTTTTCGACGTCGGGGGTTTGTTATCAGAGGAACAGGTTGGAGTCGGCCAGACATTCCGCAGGGACAGCATTGTCTCAAGCGTGGACCCTATGGCATCTAGCGTCCACGGTGTCCCGTCACCCACCCTACCCGCCGGATCGAATGGTTTACGTCGCGGATCAACAGCACTCTTGCAAGATCTTGGCGGGCTTTTGGGGCCCACGAAACCGTCGCGACAAAGATCCAGGACTGGCACGGAATTGCAACCCATTCCTCAATCGCAACACGATGATCATCCATCTTACAACCCTCGCCCCGGCGAGCCAACACTTATCGATCCTGGTGGCTTACTCAAGTAGTTTGGCAACAACTACGCAGAAGCTGACCTGTGACATACCACACAATCACCTAATCTCAACACGTTACGACCACGAAACTACGACTATATTTTATGAGACAGTACATGTATATGTATATTGACGATCTCAGCGACATTGCTGGGGGCTCTTTTTGGACATGGGGAGTTATAGAGGTTTAGAGCCTTTGGCCGGCGTTTCTATAGGTCAATGGGGGACCGGATACGACCATACTTTACGTTTTGGAATTTTTGGAGGAAAGAACTATTTACGACCAACGGGAAATGGGCGTTGGATGAAATCCCCGGAGCGGCCTTCACGATGATATCTGAACGCCGTCGTTTTTTGCTTCGCTGTTTATCATTATATATACCCCGGCGCAAATAGCCATCATGTTTTGTACCTGAACAGCTTGTTCCAATATCATCACCATCTACAAATAATGAATGACGAATGACTCTTTATGGATTGCACTTTCCCCCCCTTCTTAATCATGTCCGCTTGCTTTTTTCCCGCAACTGCTGCAATGCGAAAAGCTCGGTCCCGGAAGGCGCTTTCCGTGATGCCTGGTCCCTGCACGACGTTTGTTGCGCATCTCGGCCGACGACCCTGTTCCCTACAAAACGTCAACGACTGACTCTTGTCGCATTCTGCCCGCTGCCAGCAGAATCCCTTCTTTAATTACCCCTGCGGCATGAGTGTACTGTGACCATGGTTCTTGTATTCTTTCTTTAGAGTTTTCTTGGCCAATTACGATTTTTTCCTTTTGATTTTTCTTGGTATTTTCTTTTCCCTGCTTTGTGGTTGTTGTTCCGAGGACCGACGGTTTGACTCTTCTGTCTATTCTATCGTGGTTGTTGATCTATCTGTGTCTGCCTGACTCAATGGCGGCCGCTTGACGCCGGGCGCCTGACTCTTCCCCCCTTTTTTTGGAGGTTCAGGAATCCCTAACCTCACATTACAACAGACTTCAGACTCCGCACTCCGTACTTTATCCCTGAGTTCAGAGCTGGGTTCAGAGCTGACCCGAGAATCCTGATACGTCGTGGGTATGGTTCGGGACAGGAAAGCATGAATCACTTTGTATATTGGGGAGTCCTGTTCTGGTGAGGAGGTTGCTGGGTTTGTGGAGGGCGATGGATCAACATGGGGGCTTAGTATTCCTGACTCAAAAGATCAGGAGGCTTTTGATATACGCGGTACATGGGAGCCCACATGGCACGTGTTGAAGATGGATAGGAGAGGGGGGATATTTGATAGATTTTACAGAGGTGTTCATCCTATATATTAGCACCTCCATATCTATATTCTTCTCCCCTTTGTGGAGGATACTGGTGGTGATGCGTAGGGTGTTCATCCAACGTCTTGGTCCCTGTCCTCTATCTCTGCAAATTTATCAGTATTATGGAGCTTTCAATTCTAGACGCGGATGGTATCACGGGTTCTGTGAAGATTTTCCGTTTTCGCACACCTCCCTCCCCTCTACCCGGGACTAGGCTCCCCGTTTCACCAGAGATGAAGATGTATCGAATGAGTAGCCCAGAAGAAGGGAGTACCTCATATACTTTTCAGTCGGTTTGGTTTAGTTTCGAGGCCAGTGAGGTTGGCTGCGAATCGAGACATATGATAAGGATGATGTTGCGATGTAGGCGACGTTTACGTCGTTCGGAGAAAATATGTATGTGATGAGTGGGTTAGATTGCAAAACTTTGTAAAGGTGTCGTTGATGAAGGCGGGACGTGGGCATCGGAGGCCTTGCGAAGTAGCTGAGAATAGGCACAAAGCAGTGTTTCTATGGGGGCTTCTCTAAATTCACTGCCCTTGGAGATTGTCGTTCAACGTCATCGAGTGAGGATGCTTCCGACAACATAGCATTGAGTGACTGCCGGATCTACAAGAACTCGGTTCAGTCCCTTGTATAATTGAGGAACCATTTTCGTCAATGACTGGCCAACC